TATATACATAAATGACTACACAAACATACATACATGCCTGCATGCATGGCTACAAATACATACATACACACCTACATACCTGCATACATACATACATACATACATACATACATACATACATACATACATACATAGGTGCGTATGTGCGTACATACATACATAGGTACGTATGTACGTACATACATACATACATACATACATACTTTCACACAAGTATGCATACATACATACATACATACATACATACATACATACATACATGTATACATATGGAATATATGCATATAGGTATATACACATGTGTGTATATATATATATGACATAGATTTGTATATAGATATATATACCTATTGTATACATATAAATAAATAGATATATATATATATATAACATTCGAAATGTCTATATATATATATATAAATAATTCAACATTCGAAATAGCCACGATATGTAAGCTAACAACTCGTTGCCTAGGTGCTTAGAGTCGTGGGAGGTACATAAACAAAATCAATGAACTGTTGATGTTGAGAGTGTTCGGGTTTCCGTTCCATAAGAGCTCTATGTCAGGGGGATAGCACCTCGTTAGGTTTGCTAGGTCTTTAGGAGCGTACCGAGTTTTGTATGGCCATGACCTGTTCTATAGGAAAGTAGAGCTAGGTGATGACCCTTTGTGTCTGAGGTTTTATAGGCTTCGAGCCCCGATCCCTAGACCCAAACCCCACGACACCCCCGAAATCCAGGCCACTGCCTCCCCTTCTCCGGCACTTGGGCCCAAGCGGAATCGCGAAAAGGCCCACGCCCAAAGACATAGAAGTCAGCTGCCAAACGGCACGAAAATCCTCAAGGAGCTACCCTAAACTCTAGACCCAAAACGGTCAGGGTTTAGGGTTTAGGGTAGAGTTTCGGGTCCATTTCTATCCCTTTCGGGTTTTGAATTCTTGGCTTGGGGTTCAGGGGCTTGTATAGAAAGACCCGGCTATGTACCGTTCTTTCTTGGGGGGGGTCGCCGATCTTCTGCAACTGCCATCGAAAGTTTTGCCCCCAATTGTCTTTGTCTCAGTTCAGGGTTTAGCGTTAGCGCTTCGGGTTTGTAGGACATCTACGAACCCTGACAGTTTACGCTTACGGTCTGTGGTTCATTTGGGAAACGGTGCTCGTCGACTGTAACCGAACAACCGTGGAGCCCTGTACTGAATATGTCTGTATATAATTAGAATAGGGTTTCGGGGCCCTCTATACTATACTATTGATCGGAACCCTAAGGAAAAACATTGGTAATTAGTTAGGCTTCTATATTACTCACAAACGGCCCCAGGTCACCACGGATCCTTCTCAGGGGATACGTTTCGTTTTCTAGCCCTTCTTGAACGTATGAATTCTTCGACTTCTTTGGGGTGAAATAGGCTGCACGTGACATAAAGCAGATTCGTTTCTGTTGGTTCGGAGGTAGCCATGAACCAACAAGTCTGAAGTGTCATTCTAACCCTAAGGGTCCATGTACCCAAAAAGTATATACTTTGGCCTTATAAAGGAGTCCTTATATAGGTACTTTACGGCCAATGTATGTACTATTTGGGCACATGGACCCTCAAGGGAATGCAAAGCTCCTAAGCTCTAAAGCGTAAACTCAGCACCCCGCGACACGCTCATCGTCCGCTGCTACCAGGCGTTCGCTGTGGTGTAGCTCCAGCGATTCCGCGATGGACGTCATGTAGTTTGTACAGTATGAGGTGCTTAGTTTCAGGGTGCAAACTGTAGCGTGCAGAGTAATAGTTAGATTCAGCTAGGGATTGTGGGTGTTAGGGTCGCGAGCCGGACGCTCAGGGTTTTAGGTTGTTTTGCCCTTGCTCTCGACATGTCGTTATGGAAAACATGGCATGATGGGGGGCGGCGTTGCACGGGATTTCCGACCGTCACTGTAAGAATTTGTGCTGCAGTGGGCCTCAAGGCATGGGACTGTCTCGGATTCGCAGCATCGCCTCTCATGAGGATAGGGTTTAGGGTTTAGGGTTTAGGGTTTAGGGTTTAGGGTTTAGGGTTTAGGGTTCAGGGTTCAGTCTTGGTTTACAGCATAGTGGCTACGGGTTGGGTTCGAGGCCGCTCTCGGGCTAAGCGTCTCGGATGTACAGCCCAAAACCCTAAGCCCGAAATCTCAGACCCTGACCCTAAACCCTAAACCCTAAACCCTAAACCCTAAACCCTAAACCCTCTGCTAAACTCCCTAAACCCTACATCCGGAATTCATACCAAAGGAGTGCTTTGTGGCTAAGCTTCAGAGATCCCAACCGAAGCTCAGAGTTTGAGGCGTGGGGTCTCCGGGATGTCTTGAAGACTCAGACATGTTCGACGTGCTAGGTTTAGGGTTTAGGGTCTAGGGTTCCTCTAAGGGTTGAGGGTTTGGGATTACATATGTTAACCCCAAATACCCTACATTTTTGGGGGGCTTGTATGAAGAACTCATAAGAAGGAGACCTAAGAAGGTAGGCTCATCACTTGGGGTTCAGGTAGGGTTTGGGGCTGAGAATTGAGAGCTTAGGGTTCAGGGTCGTAGAGACTCAGAGATGTTTGAAGTCTTTTTTCAAGATTTTGGCTTCCTGTTTAGGGTTGCAGGGCCAGTTGTAGGGTGCAGGGTTTGCACGATTTTCCCTTGCCGGTTGGCTGAGTGTCTTGGCAGCGGCGGCAGAGAGACCTTGGAATGAATTCGTGAAAGCTCTGGGAACCCAAAACTCTTTTCTTTAGCCTTCTATCTAGTTGTAGCTGATTCCTTCACGAACGACTATTCTATGTCATGTTGGGAATGCACTGCCATTTTATGCTATGGCCAAAATTTGGGGTTGTGAGGTTGAGCTTCAACAATAATAAACCCGACAACCTGAAGCTCGAAAGCCATGGCCAACCCCATGATGGACCCGATTCTGGAGCAAGTGACTAAGGGCTTACACATAGACTCCAAAATCCCTTGCTTAAGGAATATATCTCAAATTATAGTAAGATCCTTAATATGATTTAAGGTGTATTCCTTTATTAAGGGGTTTGGGAGGCTTTGGTTATAGGGCTTTGAGATTATAGGGCCCGCTCCTTGGTTCCGGGATATGTTGTAGTATAAGCTTATATGGCCTGTGAAAGGATACCTACCGTTACTATTCAGCCGTTCAGACGCTACACTATTTCGCCCGACATAAATACCCCTAATCTAATCTCCCAAAGTCGATATCTACCTGTTTAGTTGCCATGTTTGTGTGGACCAACCTATGCCATGGGTAAGACCCTATTAGAGGAGACCTGGGTCAGTTCAAAGGGTACCACATTTGAGGGTCTAGGTAGATCCAAACATCTGAGCCAAAGAGTCAATCTACGTAGTTTTGCTAAACGGGGCTTCTGGAGATGTACGATATTTTTAGTTGCGTCGTGCAGGTACATGCTCTTGCATATTTATTCAATACCAAACTTGGTCTTCAAGCTCCTGTCCCCCTGTTGAGTAAGGTTCTTTTGAGTTGAAAAGGGTTGTAAGAAGCTCTGTATATGTGATACGTACCTGCGCAGGCAACAGGATTTTTTTGCCAACCGGTACTGATCTTGGAGGACTGCAACAGCTATGTACTTGGTCTGAGAAGGCTTTACTCAACACACACCCACACGCACGAACATATGCAGGGTTTCACGGTCCCCTAAACCTTAGACCCTGAACCCCAAGCCGTCAGTCCTCTTCGTGGAGTTCAGGTTTAAACTCTGAAACACAAACCCTAAGCTGGATGAGCTTTAATTCTGGTCAACATGTTTTGCAAGATACCAGCTGTGATTACGTAGGCTTTACATGGACCCCAACAGAACCTACGTAACTTCTTGCGGACTTGGTAACTTAAACCCTAAACCCTAAACCCTAAACCCACAGGAATCATAAGAAGGAGCCCTACCATGGAAGGTCTGTAGGGCCACCGAAGCAAAATAAGTTTCAACTTTCGGGCTTAGGAAATTAGGGTTTAGGAAATTAGGGCTTAGGGTTTAGGGTTTAGGGTTTAGGAAATCAGGGCTTAAGGTTTAAGGTTTTGGGTTTTAGGGCCTACACCCTAAACCTTAAACCCGAAACCCTGAACTGGCCCTACACCCGAAGATTGCGGAGCTCTGAGATCCTAAACACTGAAGCTCAGCCCTGAACAACTCTTTTGTCACAACCCTACAGCACAAAAAAAATCGCAGCCCTTAAACAGAAGTGTCCTAGCTCAAACCCGACAAACTCTGAGCAAATTCCCCAGACACTCCAATATCCCTTAATTGAGGGATATGCCTTAAGTTATAGTAAGAACGCTAATATGATTTAAGGTATATTCCTCAACTACGGGGTTTTGCAGGCGCTGGGTCCATTAAGGTAATTATTAAAGCCCCTAAGCCTAAACCCTAAACCCTGAACCCTCAAACCCTGAACCCTGAACCCCTAAACCCTGAACCCTCAAACCCAAAGGCTCTGGGTCCTTGATGCAGCTAGAAGCACGGCTCATAAGCGTTTGCTCGGGCCCGGTGACGGCGCGCTGCTCCAACTCCGACAAGACTAAGGCCTCGAGATTGAGGGTTTAGGGTTTAGGGTTTAGTTTGCTGTTTATGGTAGGATGCTCTGCATTTTCTGACCTTGAGGTGTCTTGCAACCCTAAGCCATAAAACCAAAACCCTAAACCATGCAAAGGCGCATAGCTTGGTAGTTCTCTAAATTAGGATCCCTTTTTAGGTCCCCAATATAATGCGGCACCCCTACAAAAAGGACCCTAAAAGGGACCCTAATTTCGAGAACTATCCAAATGCATGCAAAGGCGCATAGCTTGAAGCTGCTGGCTTCATCGACGAGGCTTCCATGCGTCCCAGGAGATCGGCGGCCTCGGGCCATCCTCAGCTTTCCCGGATCGTCTGCAATAAAAGGGCCCTAGAGCTTCAGGCAGTTACCAAGCTATTTCGTTACGGGGATAGATATGTGTGTGTGTATATATATATATATATATGCGGCTGTGTGTGTGTGTGTGTGTGTGTTTGTATTGATATACATATATATATATATATACATGTGTATATATATATATATATATTGAAGGTGGTGTGAAGGATCTAACTGGGTAGGAACAGAACTTTTGAGAAGCTGAGGCTGAAGTAACGACTCAATCCTGTCAGTCATACTCGGCACTCCAAGCGACGATAGGTAGGGTTTAGGGTTTAGGGTTTAGGGTTATGTCTCTTTCCAGTTTATGCTTGGGGTATTGGGAGAGACTCTGGCGTTTAAAACACTGAACCCTAAACCCTGAAGCCCTGAATCGCCCCATGGCTCCTTGAAGGGCTCCTTTAAGGGTGCAGGTGCCCATACATTATTTGAGCATCAAAAGATTATATTATACAATTATACTGACCCCCTTGTGGGGCCAAAGTATAAACCAGATCAGTGCATGGGCCACTTAGTCTTGGGGCCATTTAATCACGTACAAAAAACACTGTAAACCCCAATGCAGTCCGATCAAGACCATGTGGAACCCTTCACGGAATCCTAACCCTAAGGGTCAATGTCCCCAAGTGGCGTTTGGGCCTAAAGTACCAAAATAGACACTTCGTTAACCCTATACCCTAAATCCTAAACTCGACCAGTAAATCCTAAACCCTAAACCCTTAAGGCCAAAGTATAGATAGCATTTGGTTACATGGACTCTCAGAGGACTCAAAGGATCCGGGTGGGCGTAGGGATTTCGGGGATTTGGGCTCAGGGATGTTTAGGGCATATCAGGGTTAAGGCTTTAGGGTTGAGGGTTTGGGGCTTATTAGGGCTTATAGGGTTTAGGCTTTAGGGAATTTGGGCTTAGGATGGAAAGGCTACGGGGTGTTGCCTTTTTAGCCTCATAGCCATGATGGTAGGATACCTTCGGGTGCGGAGCTCCGATCCTTTGACGGCTCTCCTAACAGTCCCTAAGGGTCCATGTACCCAAACAGCATATAGGTTTAGGGTTTAGGGTTTAGGGTTTAGGGTTTAGGGTTTAGGGTTTATAAGCTTAAAGTAGTCCCTCTATAGGTACTTTAAGGCCAATGTATATACTAGTTGGGTACATGGACCCTTAGGGTACAACAAGGCCAGACTTGGTCCAGGTCGCGACGGGCATTGGCACAGATCAGAACAGCCGACGCGTAGGTCCTAAGCCGCAAACAGCCCTCGGCACTTCTGACGTTAAGGTGTTAGGGAAAGTTTAGGTTTCCCTAAGGGTTCATGTGCCTAAAAAGTATATACTTTGGCCTTAAACTAGTCCCCATATAGGTACTTTGGGGCTAAAGTATATACTAGTTGGGCACATGGACCCTTAGGGTTTATGGCTTAGACTTCAGATTACCGGCTTAGGACTCCCTAAACCCTAAACCCTAACGTCTTAGTCGTTATGGGGTTGAGGGCCTGATGTGGGCCTAGGGACTAAAGCAGCGACTCTTAAAGGGACCCTTGGGGTTATATAGGGGCTTTATGAGACTATATAAGGGGTATAGAAGGGTAAAGTAGGGTGTTAGGAGGTCTGTCCCTGGGGGTTTCCCGGGAACATCTTTGTCTTCAGGACTTCGGAGTTTGGAATTTCAGGCTCGCTTTGGAACTTCGGGTCGCTGGGGGGTGGGGGGGG